TGACTATAATATCTTTGCTGCACGCCGGGTTAGCGTGATATCTGATTACGAAGCGGTTGCACTTACTTCCCGAGTCCCATAGTCATCTTAATCTCAACCGAGGCTCTGATTTCAAACAATGCATCCGTTCTTCGTGCTTCTGACTCGTCACCCTCCAGATGACCACCCTTAACACTCCTGGCAGACCCTGGGACATCAAAAACCAAACTAGCCACACCTTCGGCACCTGGAGGTATGATGTATTCGGGTGAACGGAACGGAACCGTCAACAAAGTATCTGAGATCTGAAGTGGTGCTTTCTTGTCTGAACCTCCATTTCCCAGATGTAAAGTCCGTGAAAGAGACACTATTAGTCCGGTGTTCTAGGTGGACATCAGTAGGCTTTCTGAAATGATTCTGAAAACATACCCTGCGGGTAGAATGATTCTTAACCTGCAATTCTACACACGCAGGTTCGCCAGCTACGATCATGCCGCCGACAATCTTTCCCTGAACCCAGATTTTCCCATTTTCACCAACGGCGACAGTCTCAGGCTCTGCTCTGGAGAAGTCTTCCTCAAAACTTTCAACAATATTGATCTCCCTAGTGTTGGTAACCACTTTGCTCTCGCCCTTCCAAAATACCTGCACGCTCGCCCTGACCTCGTATCTAACCCGCGCTGAACCTGAGGCAAAGTTGATGGCCGATGGACTGGTACTTGGTATCGGTATGCGAAAGTTGAACGTGGATTTCCCCCGCTTTGCCTGATAGTAATGTGCCGGCAACGGAAGGTCTCCCGGAGCAGGATGCACTTGCACAGCATTAGACGGTGGGAGCCCCGGCCCTTGGAATAGTCGTCGGCTGTAGAGAAAAGGAGCCTTGGCTGTATGATCTCGCGATAGCAACTCTGCGACGAATTCTATATAGTAAACGACCACGGGCCTGATGGAGATTCACACCTTCAGTCCCGAACAATTCTACCATCATTCCACTGATCCCAAGGCCTTTATCGGCTCTGCACTCCATCGTAAGTTGGCCGCAGACATGGGTGCCTCCGACGAACAACGGATCGGAAAAATCCATTGATATCTTGACCTTTGGATGCGTTGGCGACGAGTTCATCAACTGAGGCCGGTCATGTTGCAATGCCATGGTTGAATGTTTCTCCAGGGACTGGCTATAATGTTGTCTAGAATATGCGGATGAAGCCTAAGAAATATAAGCATTAGTGAAGGTATACAGAGAGCAATTGCTACCTGAAATTATTAAATAAAGTAAAAGAGCATCAGAAACACGATAGAAAGCAGAAAATAGATTGGAAACGAATGCAGCAATGGCGAACGGACGGAAGAGAAGCTGTGACCATGTGTCACGCTGTTGTCGTATTTGTCATCGGCTAGAGGTGGCTGTGCTATCGCCCTCGGTAACCAAAATCTGTCACTTGACTAAGACGTTCACGCGTACGCTCTTAGGCCAATAATTTTCAAGCACAATTGTTTTTGCTCCAGCTTCAGCGCGTCTTTGTCGCACTGTCAGCAACGTTAGAAAAAATAATTCTCACATACAGGAGCTTAGACATCGTCCGCCAAGCTTGTGAAGTACAGATGCAGGCGTTTACCATTTCTGGTGACGGTGGAAGGCCGCTCAACCGTTCAGTTGGATAACTGACCGAGGCGTGCATCTCTAAACTATTTTACGGTGTCCAGAAACTCCTTGCTTGCTATGTACATCTCGCTAATATTTCGACAACTTAGGGCTAAGTGTTTCACGGAGGTTTTAACGCCCGGGAGAAGCGGCGAACTACCTGCAACCTGGGCAGTGTAGACGGGTTTCTCCTAACTATCAGCGCATCAAAGCCGTTCGCAATTCGTCCCTCCCCAGAATATAACCGTGTCGATTAATGCGGTTTGGCCAGATTCCTTGGCAGAAGATATTCCACAGAATTTTCGAGCCGGTCGACTCGAATTGTTTGTCTACCAAGCTCTGTATCATGGGGCCATTCATTGTGTACATTTAATTCACCCGAGACATTGACGGGAACGTGTCGATTGAATAAAATAACATGAAGGAATCGAGCCTTCCAAGGCCAGAGACAAGGCTTGAGCCTATCCTTTTCGAAACACTTACAACGGTCACTCCACTTGCGGGTAGGATCAGAGAATGTATGGATTGTTTGAGATTTGTATGTTTCCTCTACCTGAAAGGATTGGTTCTCGTCCAGGAGTGTAAAATGCGAAGCACGGACATACCAATCTTGGAATATATAATTCTAATGAACCCCCTACTCCTCTAAAATTCGTCTTTCATTCCAAAATTGGTCCTTGATAATGTCACAATGAATAATATCGATTTTCGTGCGCGGTTTCGTTTTCTTCTTCGTTTTCTTCTTCTGCTGTTCCGTCTCGTTCGCCGGCTCTTCTTCGGGGACCTTATTAGATTCGGTAAGTACATGAATGCCATGAATACGGAATTATGCAAACCTCCGTTCTCACTATGACACTTCCCTTTCGGTATCTCGGGTCAATATCGTTGTAGTTGATCTGAAACCTAGAGAACAGGATCTCGTTCTTTTCTTTCGATATCGTACCCTGACCGGAGCTGTTAGACGTAACTCATCCACAATAAGCAAACGAACGAGCCCTTAGGATCGCGTGGGCCTGCGTCGTGGTTTCTCTGCCCTGCTGAACAAGTGCCCAAAATGTGGTATTATACAGGTTGTTAATGTGCGCTATGCTTCGGCGAATGAGTGTGTGCTCGCGATGAGTTCACTGTGTACTCACTGTCAGCCTGCCTCCAGGCAAAGTAATCGCGTATCTCCTTTTCGCCCGGATACAGCACTATCCTCCCGTCAAAGGAAGGAGGGTAGCGCAGAGGTGTATCCGGAAAGAAGGTAGGCCAATACAACACGTAGCAAGATGTAAAATACGAAGTCAAAGTGGAGACAATTTTGGACTGTCTACGATTATACAGTGACGTTGATTTGCGAAGGAGAAAACTGTGCAAGAGTTAGTAATGGGCGGCGCGAGGTTGGAGCGGACCTTACCTGTATTCGTCTGATTCACCAAAACCAAGGACGATATCGGGGTATTCCTCCATTAAATTTTGTGCGGCGTAGTCCATAAGACGTAAAGCTCGCAAGTCATTAGGCTTCGAGAATTTATGTTCGTCGGAGAATCTATAAAGATAAGATTGGATTTGGAGAATCAGACAGATTGTCATACCGATGGAAACTATGGCCATCTAAACGGTACACCATAAATGTTCCTGGAAGAAGGGGGTCCGGCAATTCAAAATTCTTAACATATTGGTACTTGGATCCCGCCATCTTGTGAAGATATCGATGGTAGCCGAAATACGGCAAACGGTGGAGGGAATCCCAAAAAAGCATAGGTGACTCGTGACCCGCTGTGACAACGCCATGATTCACATCATCGGAAGATCCCGGCGCCTCAAAGCCTCGAGACCGCGGGCCACGACCCACTTGTGCAGGAACCACCACCAGCCTTCTTTCTTCAGCCGTGTCACTACTTCTCGTTACCCTTTGCCAACGATGAGCACCACTACTTCGCCATACCGTGATTACTTCCGTCGCCGCACTATCGGTCGGGCAGCGTCGCCTCCCACCTGGGCTTGCTATGAGCAGATCCCCTACGATGATGAAGATGAATACAGCGACAGCGGATCAGAATCCTGCTCCGAGGATGAAGAAGGCTATTCCCATGCCCATGAGCACCTGAGTGACTCAGAGGACGACCATGACCACCAGGATGCGCCAATGAGTGAGAACCGGGCCGATGATTCCTTGGATATGGATATGGATATAGATGAAAACACGGAGGCGGTGGCTGCGAAGAAGGCTGCTACGTCTCAAAAAGATGTCAAAGGAAAGCAAAAAGCTATTGAGCCTGAGCCTGAGCCCGCTAAGCGTCGACATCGCAAGAGGGAACGCCAACATGTCTATACTCTCCGTCCCATCCTGACCATACAGAGGAGTCAGGGCTTTGTCTGGAATCAAGTGAGCCTATCTTACCCTTTCTTTCTCTTTATCAGATTGCTTATTATTCCGATTATAGGACCTGTTCGTGCCGCCATATATCAAAGACCGATGTTCGTCCATCTATCTTTCTATTGTCGCTTCCTGGAGGAGAGCTGATTATTGACCTTTTATTCGTTGCAGATGTTGCCTCGACGTCGCCACCCAATTCGGCGGGTTTCATATCCACGTCGGTGTCGTCCACCAATTCTGCGTTGAATGATTACGAGGTGGAGGTTGTAGAGATTCGTGTACAAGACGGTGATCTGGATCATATCATTCCATAGATACATCACATACGTTTCGTTTCATGGTTCTGCTTTTTTCTTTGTGCGTACGTAGGTTATATTCGTTTCTCTTTTCCGTTTATTTCAGATAATAGTTTTGACTATACTACTTTACGTGCCAGGGTTTTGCGCATGTACTAAGATCACAATATAAATCTCCACTAAAAGGTCTTGGGACACCTTGATGGTGTCGAAGCAAAAACCAATTCACAGAAAACTGAAACCTGACAGATCCAAAGGAGTCGGGCGTACATCTGGTTATAGGGAGGTGTACGGCATGGTATGGACAATAGGATCTCCTTGTCATAGAAAAGTGCGGGAAAGAAACCGGAAAACTTATGGGGGATACGGAAGGCTCGGTTTACGGCAAGCCTATCAGGATTTTCCAAACTTGAATCATAGAACTTGGTAGTACTCGCCCTCCGATACTTGATACGCAGCCCTCTCAGATTGGTTTGTGTTTCGTTCCCACTAAGATCAGGAAGGAACCTAACAACAATAAGGGCCTGGTTACTTGACCATGTTATTCATCGGTAACGCCCTGAAAGAAAGAGAGAAAGTCGGAGGGACTGTAGAAACCTCGTCTCTGGACTCCTCAAGCCGTATGAGAAAATTTGAAGCGAAAAACGGCAGGCCGCAGGAGGCGGGGCACCTAGCTTAAGTTGAATGTAGAGAGTGAAGAAGCAGCAAAAAATTAACTTGCCCCCTGCAAGGCTCGAACTTGCGACCTCGAGATTTAAGATGACTGCACCATCCTCATACCACAATATGAGACTCGCGCTCTAGCCAACTGAGCCAAGGAGGCTTGCAAGTCAGCATCTTTAATATAAGTATCAATGTATTTGTAAACTTTGACGGATGTGATACATGCATGCTTCCTTCAATTTCCGATAAGCAGCTCGTTCCCTTAAAACTGCCGATGAGAGCTTGATTACGCCGCACTAGAGCGCCTTAATGTTCCGTCCGTATAATTGGTGTCTTCGGGCACTATCCGTACGACCTCCAATCCCTCGTGCGTAATTAAGGTCCCTGGACTTACAATTGTTCCGTTGTGTCATATCGTATGTTATATTACAGCTAGTAGGGCATCATCAACCTCCCGATCCACTTCCTTTAATCTAGCAGCTTCCTTCTCTCGCTCCAGCTCCTTCTCTCTAACAGCCTCCGTCTCTCTTGTGAGAACGTACGTGGGTCTAGTATGAGGCTGATAGTCAAGGTGTCGCTTAACATAGAAGCACATATAGGCCCGAGAGTCCAGGCATGCATTCAATGAGGAATGCGTCACTCTAATTGGTAAAGGTCAACGAAAAGGTTGGAGCACCGCACAGCAATCCAAACGCACTTATCATCGTCGAACCGATACCACTGCAGAAGTCTGTCAACGCACCGTATACGGAAAGCATAATGAAGTCGCACCTCACTCCCAAACCTCGCGAAATTCGTGTAATGACCATTGCTGATCTGGCCTTCATGATTGATAACAGCGAAAAGATCATATTCGTACATGACTTCCGGGCCGAAAGAGCTGAGGCACGATCAGCTGCATCTTGCTGCAAGGATTCGTGACACCTACGCAAAATTGTTCTCCTTTTCGTTCTCTTTCAAAGCAATCGAGGTGAATGGCGCCATATTGATAGTAGCAGGAAACCGGACTGGTGTATCGAGCTTCCGAGCCGTGGGTTTGTCAGAGGTTTTGTGTTCGAAGCGCTGTGCAAAGGAAAATCAGATAACGGCACCGAGAGGCCATAAATATCGACCTTGAACTGGAAGCTTAACACAGGGGGAAGCTTAGAAATGCTCATGCGCTTGCTGACCTCCTGATCCCATGGCACAAAATTAGCGACGATACGGGCGTGACATTGACAATGAACGAACCCGAGAAGACTTGTTGCATTTTCCGCAGTTATATTCCTTGGACCCAAGTTTCTCGGACTGTGTAAACCTGTCAAGATGTTACAAATGTGCGCCTTAGGCATACCGACAACTGACCTCTTCAAACAGCCATACAGCGTTGTTTCGTCCTTAAGCTCCAAACTAATGTCGAGCATTGGGTCGGACGTGCTCGTGACGTTATTACATCGCTCGCACTTGACATCGCTCTGAAGCTGGCCAGCAAAGGTGGAGTGGATGATGCAATTACAAGAAACATTAGTTGATCCGCGAGAGTTACTATGAATATGGTTCAACACGGATATGAAGAACTCATGCGCATCGTGTTGTGCATAGCCGGCAAGGTCCGGAGACTTCATCCAAGTCGTCGCTAGGAATGAGCTTGGCCCATATGGCGCGGTGTCGACGGAATAGATCTAACCACTACCTTTCAGGCAGTGCTGGCTGAGGAATTTTGCTCTTACCTCGGTAAACAGCTTGTCCATCTCGCAGCAGCTGCAATCTTCAATTTTGCATCCCTTGACGTTATGTTTGTCCCCCAGGAAATAGTTCCTAATAAGAGGGTTATGCACCAGGCATTGCAAGACAACGTTGAGAAAACACGTCTGTCCCAGATTCAATAGTCCGCGACGGGCTGAAATACATTAGCAAATGCTCGAAAAATCGTAAACCAGAGGTGTTACCTTGGCAGGATATAGGCACCGAACTTTCTAATGCCGTCGTGTCCTCAGCAATCGGAGCCCAAGCAACGAAAGGCTCTCGCGATCTCTTGGACACTGTATCACTGTAGTCAGTTTTACAGATGTCAGCGAAAAATGAGTGACAAACCCTGATATCTGGTTTCCTTCTCCTCGGCAGAAATAACTGTCGCCAGATATATTGCTTCTAGCTTGGCATTATAAACCATGTCCATGCAGTCAGAGTCCGAGCAAAACACAGATCCTGAGTTCGGATCAACGCCTGTTTTATAGATTAGCTACGAGACGTCCACGGAAACAATGGTCCCACAAAATAAATGTTCTGCATCCGTAAGATGATCTAGAATATGTGTCCAACAACCTGCGAATGAACAATGTAAACAGACAAATGGTCGGGAAAGTAGGGTTTCGCAGATGCCGCAGGAAGGTGCTGAGATCTACAATGCGAAGATCAGTCACGTAAATTGGGCCCGCAAGTTCGAACCAACCTTCCTGCGTTTCGCATTGCTTCGGACAACTTGATATTGATGAACGTTCCAAGAAACGAATTTCTTATATCTCGAAATGATAGACTCGTCGGCGAGAGCTGCCGCGATATGAGAGCATTCCTCTATTTCCTCCAGGGCTGCTTCCAAGTCTGAGGCCATCTCAGAGAGTCTCACGTGCCCGAACGACGGAAGCAAATTGAGTCAAATTACGCCGTCAAAGACGCGACGACGACGGGGTATGTAGCAGCCAGGTATATCCAAGAATGTGAACGACAGAAAACAATGGTGTTGTCAGGGAAAAGGCATTCCAGAGCTCATCCAGCCGGAATGGTGGTAGTTGAAATTCAGGAGGATCTTGTTTGCCCGTGTTAATTGCCTTGTGATCATATGACTCTCGGGCCGACACGCCAGGCTGACAGAGGCCAATTTGTTGATCTTTGCTTCAAACGCGCTGACCGAAACTTATCTAGGCCCTCTACATAATCCATCTGGGACAAATTGAAGGATCCGATAATGTTCAAAATTTCCTGGCTCTTCTGCTTTTCCCTGCGTAGAGGGCCACCGAATCATATCCCAACCGATTCAGATTTTCTACAGCAAGCTGACAAGGCCCATGTGAAATCTTGCGTATTCTGCAATGTCTCGAAAGAGAACGGATTCAGTATTCTTTGGGAGGTAGGTGGGACATTCTTTTCCCGATTTTCGAGAGTAGTTTCTTATCTACGCATCGGCCTTTGCTAGGATGATAAATTCATCGCCTTTTACGACCGAGACCCTGCATGCAGACACCACGTTCAATTAATCCCGAAGGCACATATTCGTATGTTTGTATCTCCGTTCCATCCAATCGGCGCTCCCGATATTTTGAAGGAAGCGTAAAGTCCTTGACGAAAGATGATGCGCAGCTTGGTGTGTATTGGTTCGACCGAGTTCACCATCAGTAATGACACAATCTCCGTCTATTTAGTTCGGGATATGGCTGCTATCGGCATGAACATTCTGGGTAAACTCAATGTCACGAAAGATATGAGAAAGTAAGGGTGCATTTTGTTCCGGTCCCTAGAGGCTAGCTCATCCTTACACCGGATTTTCAGGATGGGGTTTCATATACCCCCCTTCAATTCTGTTAGTCATCTGCATCTCCATATACAAGGTCTGCCGTATAAGACCTTCCTTCGTGCGGCAAAGTATTCGGTCGCTCGGGGTGGTAAACGGCACGATAAAGGATTCAGTTATTTTGTAGAGGTGGAGCAGGTCATTAGAATCCTGGAGAAAGGGAGCCGCATCAGCATTTCTCCATGCTCGTAACTGCGTCAGCAAGCGTCAATTCGCCTTATCCTATGTACTTTTCTTTTTCCTATTGGGCGTCTCAGTAACTTGAGCTATTTTAGGCACCTTCAGTGCACTCATGACCGTGTCTGTTCAATTTTACTTCAGTTGACCTTCCTGCCGTGGTCCCCGAGAACGAAAATAGAGTTCTACTATAGGGCGATAACACAACCCATATGTCTACTGTTTTCTTCCTGGAATTCCACAAGTTGACCTGAACTGTACTTGATGGACTCTCCCTATCCTTGGATCCGCCTTTCTCAGGGGCAGTGATCAGAATAACAACCCCTGCACCTCCTCCACGTATACGTTATTGCGCGGTGGGCAAGCCTTTACCATTCCTGGTAACTCCAGGCGTACATGCCGTCAGGAGTTCACGCCTTGATTCTGCACGTAAGTCTTTCCAAGTCCATTCATCAAAGGCTTACCGCCACACCGACCCAAGACAAGGTCACTCACTTCATCACTGCCGAAAAAGATAAATGTTTATTGTCTTTAGTCACATCAAAACCAATGATATTACACTCAATTGAGTGACGCCAGAATTATGCCGTCCCATACGTGCCCTCTGTTTAAGTGCCCCTGTGGTTCTCAGCATCAGGGACCATCATTACGTTCACGAACAGCCGTGGGTTTTATAATTATATTTTGATCCTCTCTGATTTGTGCTAGAATAAGCCACTGGTCGTCTGCTATTTTTGTGTGTGGAAGGTGAACATCTTTATGCCGCCCTGTACACTTCTCGTCATCTTGCAATACCCGTCGAGCGTACTAAAAATAGCATTCCTGCTCCAAGGCCTTACACCCTCTATGCTATTTTGCCGGTTTTCCCTTCTGTCGATGAAAACCTCCTGAGGCATGTCATAAGACCAGGTATCGACACTATCTTTCGTAAGTCCAGCTTATGATCTACCCGCTTAAAGCTTCTTACCGCATGCTTTTGTGTCCTCGATTTGGTAGGGAGTTTGGTCTTTCTCCACTTTGCGTGTGTTCTCAAGGCGTTTACATGTGAGCTAAGTAGACCCTTTTCGTCGCCACGCCCTTCTAATCGCGCTAAGCAGGCGCAACTATCACCCGACTTGTCTTGGTGATGCGTTGGCAAGACTTTGGTCAGCCTTATCAACCAAGGTATAAAAGGACTCAACAAAAATTCAATTATTTTCATCTCAAGTTCATCCAGAAATTGAGTCCTTCCTCCGCTATTATGTTCCAAGTCTCCTCGTTGCTGGGAATCGTTCTCCTTGCCCGACTCGTCATCGGTGCTCCCGCAGCTAGCGAGTCTGTCTCTTCACCTGCTACTGTTTCCGCCTCCGAGTCGGGTACTACCTCTGCTACTGCTACTGCCGCGTCGTCAATTGCGACTGTCCCATTTGCGAGCTTGGATCCCAATAAGCCGCTGT